TTATTCGTGCATGTATTTGGTTATGTACGTGTCCTGTTAGGCTCTGGTTTAGGTGGAGGCAACCGTTCCCCTGTCGGCTACATGTGCTACATATTTGTAGTGTTCGTCGCGCTGTGTCTCTCAGAAAATGCAGATCCTGCATGCACGAGTGCCATCCATGGTCACAGCCAACAACCAAAACCTCACCGATCTACTCAACCGATGCTAGTCGTTGAATAGCTGCTTTTTGCGGTGATAGCTAGTGTTTCTAGGGTTTTTAGGGTCCTTGAAACCCTAAACGCCTAGAAAAGGCTACACACGGCTGACTGCAGCATTTCGTGTATTACGAGTACGTGTCCAACGGCAGGGACCAGCAACAGGCACAAGCAAGGGATGAATAATTCCATGCTGCCGCCTTCGTGTTGCTGCTGTGCTGTCCCGGCATGCATGTTCTGGCTAGCTACGACCAAATACCCCATGTACACATGCACCAACGTGTACACGTACACACACATACATACACGCACACGTACACACCAGGATGGATCATGTTATGAAAAAGCCAGACCGGATATGTCCCGCGCAAGAGCGATGTGCTGCTCATGTCGAGTTTTGATCTCGAGACCTCCCGCTTACTAAACGGGTGCTCTTCCACTGAGCTACACGAGCAGTTGTGGGTGGAGGGTGTCGAACCCTCGACCTTAGGATAGTCCAAGTCACAGCACGATAACAGCTATGAGACCTACGCGCTAACCACTGCGCCACACCCACACAGACATGCAGCTTCGCGCGTGGCAAGAATTTGCCGTACACCGTACACCGTACACCGTACACGTACAAATCGTACAGGACGTGCGTACACACGCACCCCCGACGATTGGGCCAAATACGTATACACCACATCTACAGCCAACGCATGCCCGCCTCATTAGCTCTTTATTTTTCCCGGGCATGTGGCCAGGAAGTGTATATCTGTGTGACCATACATATCTGTGTGACCATACACATCTGTGTGACCATGCATATCTGTGTGACCATACATACCTGCTTGCCGATAGCGCGACGTGACGCGCAATCTGTGGTGGTGTAAGGGGACTTCAACAAGTATGAATGTAAATGCCTGGCTGATTATAATCACTCGCCTGGCTGATTCCTTGTGGCTTGT